TTAATCAATATGTAAATTCAACAAAGCTTCAGTTATCTAGCACCTAAACTCTATGGAACTAAGAACTAGAAGTATGTTAAAAAAAAAAATGCTCTAAGTTAGTACTTCTCAATAGGACATATGGGATTGGGGGAGGTGGAATCAAAATCACCCAGAGGCATTTTCACAGGCTAGGAGCCTATTCCTCCCTCACATCCAACCCTTGATCCTGGTAACACACACCCAGGGGGACGTGCTAGATCCTGTAGGGAGGGGAGCCAGGGCAAGTCATTTGAAAAGGTTTGTCAGGATGCTTTATTCATCAAGCCTTCTATTTGCAGCTCACTGCAGATTCAGGCTAAATAAATAGAAACACATGAGATATACAACACGTACTAATTAATCAATATGTAAATTCAACAAAGCTTCAGTTATCTAGCACCTAAACTCTATGGAACTAAGAACTAGAAGTATGTTAAAAAAAAAAAATGCTCTAAGTTAGTACTTCTCAATAGGACATATGGGATTGGGGGAGGTGGAATCAAAATCACCCAGAGGCATTTTCACAGGCTAGGAGCCTATTCCTCCCTCACATCCAACACTTGATCCTGGTAACATACAACCAGGGGGACGTGCTAGATCCTGTAGGGAGGGGAGCCAGGGCAAGTCATTTGAAAAGGTTTGTCAGGCAAATCTGAGAACCAACAACACATCCCAGCCCCTTCAGTGAAAACTACTGTCAATCATGAGTGATAAATTCCATGTATACATGTCTATACCTAGACGGAAAGGAGTGAGGGACTGGCAGGGAAGGACAGTGTGCCATAACGAGCTAAATACGATCTGACAGTAAAAAGCTCAACAAGCAAAGACCAGGCAAAAAGACAATAACAAATAAAAAGATATGTGAATCAAAAAGTACAACAGTCTGGACTGTTAGCTCTGGGGCAAATCATCTCAAGTATTTCAGTAGCCCCTGAATACATCATTGTATTCCAGGATAATACAATCAGATAAAATAGTTCTGAATAATCAAGAAAAAAATTGTGTTCAATAGAAATTGTTAATAAAGTCAGGGAAACGTAAATATCTTTAATAGATTTCTTCCTAAAATGGCTAGATTCTCTATTGTGTCGAGATGCCCTGATTCTGAATGTCTACTGATGTAAAAATGATAGATGAAAAGCAACATGTTTTAGTGGGAACATGGAATACAAGTTCTGGAGCCAGGCAGACCCGGCTGTTCTGGTGCTCAGAGGTTTGCTAGTCTTCGGCACAGGGAAGGAGAGGTTTCTAAGGGACAGCGTAGAGGGTTGGAGGAGAAGTCAGGCTGGGACAGAATCTGAGGACCACTGACACTTTAGGGATGACAGAGGAGGCAGAGGAGCTTACGAAGGAGATGCAGGAATAATTGGAAAGACGAAGCAAAACCTGAAGAATGTAGAGTCACTAAAGCCATGAGGAGAGTATGTCCAGAAGAAACAGACAGTCCGCTGCGTCACATGTGGTTGAGTGGGGAAACCTGGCAAACAACTGAAGAGTAGCCCCTGGGCACAGTGAAATGAGAGGTGACTGGTATCTTGGTTAGAACTTGTTATCAACACAAAATAGTAAATACAACTCTTTTAAGAATCTTAATCATGAAGGGAAGAAAAGAAAGGGAGACCTGGCTAGGGATGAAAGAAACATTGGTGTGTGGGTTTTTTATTTTTTGAATGGATACGAAAAATCTGAAGTATGTCTAAATGCTTGATGGGAATGAGCTAGGAGAGAGAGGCTGAAGATTCAGGAGACTCGCTACTAAATGGAGCAAGACCTCTGAAGATGCAGGGGGTGAGAGCCGCAGCACAGGGCAGGGTTCAGACCTCAGAGGAAGGAGAACTGGAGGCCCAGAGGAAAGCAGACCAGAGGCCAGGACCTTGGGGGAGCTCCTGTCTGATGGGCTCCATATTCTCTGAGAAGCAGCAGGTAGATCATCGCTAACAGGAAAGGAGCCTCAAGAAGGGTGTTAGAATCAGAAGTTTGATGAAAGTAGAGATGTTAAAGGGTCACCAAGGAGAACCCAGGGAAAGGAATATAAGTCCCCTCCAGTCTCCTCTTTGAGTTCAGACCCCAAGTCACGGACCAGGACAAATGGTTAAAACACACTCTGAATGACTAGGTTTAAGAAATATGATTCTTTCTATTGTTCTTTACCAAGTGTCCTACACACCTCAGTACACAGAGGAGAAGGCCTGGATTTGAAAATGCAATAGCCTAGTCGACATTCCATCATCAAATTCCAATAAATTAATTTTAGGCCCATATTTGAGTAAATAGCTAATATTAAAACATGACACTGAAAGACACAACAGGTAATCAAATTGAAAATTGTAATTAAGACAAAATACTGCAGTGAAAAAAGCCCTAAGTCATTGGAGGTTTCCATTTAGAATTAAATTTCTAGTATTAAATGTTCCTTTTCAATTTATTTTGGGTTAAGAGGTTATTACACTATAAAAAAAGAGTTAATAGAAAAGTATGGTCTAGGAAAATGTGTTATATTTTTGCATAAATGCCTATTATTGGAGATTATCAGTTTTTAAAAACAACCATTCCTAGTTCATTATGGGACAGTCAATTACATCAAAGTCCTTCTACTGTATTTTATTTTCCCATTTGTAGTATAATACGAACTTATTTCTATATCTATAATTGCTTTAAAAAAGACAAAAGTTATCAACTGTATTTCTATATCTACAAATGTTTGAAAAAAGACAAAAGACACATAGGTTTTTATCCAAGTCACATAAAGTTTATTTCCAGATTTATTTTAAATATTATGCTTACTCACTTTTTCTTCTTACTCTAGCCTTAAATCTTAACTGAAATCCAATCTTAAGTTAAATCTTAACTGAAACAAAACTACACAGAACCAGGAATATCTACTCAAAATGTCTTTTAAGAATGATGGCAATTGGACAAAACACACATGAAAAATAATAAGAAAATGAACACAAATTAAAAGTACAAAAACATATTTGTAAACTGTCAAGAATTTAAATCTGGCAAGGATTAAAAATGTTGACACGTATTATGGGAATGGGAATGTACCACAGTGTAGCTAATATTCCAAGCTGACAGCTACATTTTCCAGCTTCACCTGCAGCCAAGCATGGCCATGTGACTCAGTTCAGGCCAATGAGATGCAATCAGCAAAGGTGTTGTGTGAGACTTGAGGATGGGACAAGCCCTTCTCTCCTACCATCTAGGATGAATGTCAAGGCTGGAGCTTCAGAAGCCATCTTCGACAATGGAGTGCCGCTGAGTGTGACAGTAGGAGCCACATGCTTTGGAACCAATTTTAAAAGTAGCCTAGGTCTCCAAGAACTTTGTGGGGCTACCACAGCACCCCTGAAATACCTGTCTCTGGACTTCACATACATTTTGTTGTTGTTGGCTGGCCAGTACAGGGTTCCAAACCCTTGACCTTTGTGTTATAACTCCATGCTCTAACCAACTGAGCAACCAGCCAGTCCTTGGACTTTACATAAGAGAATAAATACTTGAGTGTTGAAAACAATGACTGAATCTTTGCTACTTCATAACCAAAAGCAATTCACAATTGATAAAACAACAGGATTAGGCTTTACAGATAGAAAGATAAAGACTTTACAGAAAAACATAGATGGATAGAAAGAGTCACAGGAAGATTTCCACAAGATTTGGCAAGTTCAATAAGCAGTTTAAGAAAAAATACATTAAATATAATCCTATTTCTTATTAAACTTTAAAAAAAGGTGGGGGTAGCATGTGTGTATATGAAAAGTCTGGAAACTTATGCACTGCAGTGTTACCAAGGATTGTTTCTAGGGGGTGAGATTATGGCAAACATCTACTTCCTTTGTTACTGGTTGGAATTTTTGCTTTTCTCAGTGAGTAGGTATAATATCTACAATTAAAGTAAAATATGCCTTTTATTTCACATATGCATATCTAAAAAGGCAATATATTATCCTGGCTTTCACTTGTGATTTCATTAAAAGTTTGGGGTTAAACTACTTGCTACAGCGACTTTTTTGGAAGAGAGAATTGTATTTATTTTGGCTATCTATAACCTCATCTTTAGTATACAAAATATATTTAAGACAGAGGTAAAATCTATTTGATTTTTAACATCTAATTATAAAAACAATAGCTTGTTACTAGAATGGGCAATGTCTTACTGTAATCTGGTGACATAGTGAGTCAGTAATCTAAAAGGTAAATATGAAATAATAGTCATAGGAGCTATGTGTAAGAATACTAGGAGTAAAAACAGACTTATTAATAATCCCATATCCTTAGAGTCCACAAAGATTAACATAAAAATGGAAAGTTTCTTCCAACACACTAAAATAAATTTTGCATAAAAGACTTGCCTGGAGTGATGTGCTCATCGAGTCACAAAACAGTTCAAAATAGTAGTAAATTCCTCTTCTAGGGGAAAAGCATATTGGTAAAATAAAAAAAAATTTTTTTTTTTGTCTTTTGTCTTTTTCTGTGTCCGGCAACGGATCGCAACCGTCAGTGTCGCCCCCGCACCGGACCGGGACCGGCAACGGGATCGCAACCCTCGGCGCTGCCCCCGCGCCTCGCTCAGCCAGTGAGCGGGAACCGGTCTGTATGTGGGATCCGAACCCTCGGGCGGGAGCGCCGCCGCGCTTCCCAAGCGGCGCGCTATCCAGTGCGCCACCGGGCCGGCCCTAAAAAAAATAAAATTTTTAAAATAATTTATGAATGTACTGCATGAAAATAACCATTCACCTACGTACTCAAAGAGACCTAAAAAGTTCATATAGGTAGGCAACTGCCTAAATTAATGAAAAGCCCAAGGATGAGCTATTCTAGCCCTGTTTTCTCCTAAATTCACCTGCTGATCCAGCAGTGACTTGGAACCTAGAACAGTGACCTCCAAAACATGCTGACTCTGACCAGATCCCCACCGTTTGTTTCGCCAGGTAAGAACTATGACTCTCTCCTAGGAGAGAACATGCTCCTACCTTCCCACTGGCCTGTCAGCACCAAGCTCCTGTTAATGACCACGTCGATTTCCATAGCTCCATCCTCCACAGCCAATCTGATCTCCTCTAAGCGTGTTTTTAAATGAGTCTGCCCAGCTGGAAAGCCAGTGGCCACTAGGAGAGATGAAAGAAGAAAGGGAAAAGAGGAGGGAGAAATGGAAGAAGGACGGAAGGGAAAGAAAAACAAATTTTAATTGGTCAGTAGCTCAACAAAGAATTTTGAACCTTTTTTTTTAATTCCTAAATAGTAAACATGGTGATCGTGACTCAAAGAAAACATTTTATTTCATGCAGATAACAAAATCCAGGTTTGTACAGCATTCAAACAGGACAGTGGATGAAGAAAAATGTAAGTGAAATTTACCAGGTGGTGCAGCAAAATGACATTTAACTAATCCTACATCCTCTTTGTAAGAAAAAATAAAATCTAAACCTGGAGCCCTCATTTTAAGGAATAAGCTCTTCAATAAAAAAATAATAATAATTTAAAAAATCAAAAAGCCACTATAAAATAAAGCAATATTATATAAGATCTCATATGAAGTTGTTACTTTTAAGTGCTATAAGGGGATGTTTTTATTATCAACTGGAAAGAAACACAATAAATATTTTTCAAAAACTGTACAGTTGTTTAGGTTTATAAGCTATCTACAAATTATTTGGGTTCAAATACCTGCCTTGGCCTGATTCAATATCTCTACCTGCACTCACAGCAGACGGGCACTCAGGAGTCACGCAGCCTCCCTCCAAGGAAAGGAGATCTGTCTCCTAAAACCACCCCAACAAGTAAAAAGACATGTCGTCTTGAAAATACCCTTAGCCTTCCAGGTCTTGGTTTTCTCATTTAGAAAATAAGATCAATTCTCAAAAGTCTCCTCCATCTCTAAAATGTTACAGTTCTAAACTTACGGCAACTTTCGAGAGTTCTTTCTTTCACGTATACTAAGGAAGTGAACATGACTAGTTCTGTAAGATCTAACCTAATATCCAAGCATGCAATATTCCTATTTGCATTTTATTCTCAAAAGCATTTCATTTACTCACAGAAAATACTTTATGTATGAGATGTGATTATTAAGTAATGAGACTAGCTTCTTCCACAGGGCTAGGGATTCAGAATTGCTATTTTAGAATCACTAGACAGAAAATTTCCAAAACTGAAGAATTGAAAAGAAATATAAAGAAACTCTCTACCAGCAACTTTAATCCATGGATGTAAAGAAATGAGCTAAAAACAAGACAGATTCTCTCCGTGCTGTTTTTCAAAGAAGAATCTCAGTTATTTCTCGCCATGCACATAACGCTTGTTTCTACCATGGATTTTATCTCTGCTATCATTTTAGCAGCTGAATCCAAGTCCTCTTAGATATAGCAATTAGTATTGCAAACAAGTAAACACCAGACAGATTATACATAACAACATTACCTTTATCGTGCATATTTAAAGCTTTTAAGAGATCTTCCCGGATTGGATATTTGGCTTTATAACACAGCCTTTGAATGTTGGAAGGTGTATCATCGCCTGAAAGTGTAGTAAGATCTATAAAGGTAACAGCTTTCAGGAGCCAAGCAGCCTAGTTTGAAGAAAAGTAAAAACAAGGTGAATTTAAAACAAACAAACAAAAAACCAAATCTCCAAGCCAGTTACTTATTAGTAGAGAATCATTACACAAATATGGGTGCTAACACCTGATGTCTATACATCGTCCTAAGGCATAGTCTGATATATGATATAAACACTGCTCGAAAGGGACTAACAAGATGAACATACCCAGAATAAAATAAAAGGGGGGGAATAGTAGTCTTAAAATTTTTTTTGTCCCATGGATATCCCAAAATGAAACCTCTAATGAACCAAGTCGCCCCACTTCTGACTTGTTCCTCTCATCCGTAAGGACAGTCCACCGTGGCTACCCCGATGTGGGAGAACTTGGGAGGGTTTCTATCTTACCTTTTGACCTCCAGCCCTCGGATCTGGGATCATATGATTTTTAAGTCTCTAAGTTCCTTGTGTGCGTGTGTGTGTGTGTGTGTGTTTTTAATTTCATCTGATTCCATTTTTAAAACAATACTTATATTTCACAACTCATTCTGATGAATTTCCTTTTATCTTTTCAATTAGAATATTTCCAAGGATGAGCAAAATGTGAAATGTCACTCTAAAAGGACTTGACCCCAACATTCTGCCTCGCTTGTGAAATGAACTCTGAATCCTGCTTAGTCCTGACTAGCACGTCTTTGGTTGGTAAACGCTGAAGAATATGCTGACCACAAGTACTCTACGAAACATCATTTTTGGAATTTTGAAAAATGATTTATGGAAAGTAATAGTAAGTTAAACACAATGGTCAAAGAAGATCAACTCTTACACCTAAGGGCCTCAACAGTGGACACACCAGGTTTAGATGTTATGGTTTTAAAATTAAAATAGAAGACAACCAAAGAAGGCATGTCTAAGAAACTGAATAAATGTGTTGAGAAAATATGCCATTTAATTCACTCATGAATAAAGATGCTTCAAATTCATTTGCGGTTTTGCCACTCAAGAGTGATAAGATTTTTAACTTGTTTGGATAAATGTGTTATCTTTCTCCAACCAATCATCATCATATATGAATTATTAAAATAAGTCATGGACAGCTGCAATCTTTTAAGTTTAGATGCATCTTGAGCGAAATTCAATATTTTGGCCTTGAGGGAAGAGAACACGCGTCATAAAATACGGGGACAGAATGCTCAAGAAGAACCCTCACCTGCCACTCCCTTTTCACGGTTCTGCGGGCCTGGATCTGCTCTGCACGCCTCAGAACTGCTGGTTGATTCACCTGTATTTTGGAGATCCAGCCAAGGTCTAAAGGGGGAAAGAACAACACTTTTTGAAACTTAAAAGTTTTATTAAATATAGTCTCCTGTTTTTACATGGCCCTTGAAAGGATACATTTATCAATTGACATCAATGCTCTTTTAAAACTTATGTTTCTTTTTTGCACAACTACAAATAAATAAGTTGGTTGAGGGAAGCCCAGTCATCAAAAGGCATACTTCATGTAAAATCAAGTATAACCGGAGCTAGAAGAACCTGTACTGATTCACTGCATAGACATGTCTAACCATGGGAGGAAACGCTGTGTTACCCATGCCACGTTCCTCACTGCTGGCAGAAAAGACTTATTTGTGAGTGTCTAGTCCAGGAGAGCAAATGATTAATAAGGACTTAAGTGAATTAATATTGGGGCTTAAAGAAATCCTTGATCACTACTCCGTTACTGACAAGATTAATATCTACTAGATGCTGATATGATACAGCCCATTCATTCTTCAAAGGAGTATTTTTCAAAATGTATTAGAAATAACATTGATATAACAGAATGTAGAAATAAGGGACAGCAAAAAAACAAGCTGTTCGAAGTTCCAGGAGACTTCTCTCCTGCTTCTGTTCTAAAACGCTCTCTCCTACCTCCATCCAGTCTCTCTTCTCTTCTGGTTGGCTGTAATTTCTACTTTAAGACCCAGCCTAAATGTCACCTTCTGCGAAAACACTGCCGGCTCCCCGGATCGGGCTAACATTTGGGTATATCTCTACGACAGCACTTGTAGTAGGAGTTGTAGTGAAACTGTCTCTTGTGCTTACTACATCTAAGTCATGATCTTACTCATCTTCAAGTGTTTAACACCAAACATCTGGTACACATGTGTTTCAGCTTCATCCACTGATATTCTACAATATAAACAGCCTCACAGCTAACTGGACATGTACTCTTCATCTTCTATAACCAAACTCATTTCTATATCCCTCTAGCAACTCCATGTTTTTGCAGAATCATCTTCTTAAAAGAGCCTTAAAAGACAACTGTGGAAAAGGTTACCCATTAAAAAATATGACCCAATTACACACCTCCTTATAACATAATGGGCAAAATGAATGTTGATTGCATACACATGACAATAATAATAATAAAGTATTTGCATCTACCACAAAGATGAGATCACCAAGAAAACCAATGCTTAAAAAAGATATTCTCTCATTTCTCTCTCTCATTTCATTTGGCTCTTCTTTAAAAAATCAATATTAATGATATAGAAATTCCAAGTTGCAATCTGAGTGATTAATAATGATATTTTTATTTAAACATCACTGAAGAAAGAACAGTTTGGGTGCTTTTTTTTTTCACTCTAATTAAATTATTTTCTTAGCCGAAATCATTTAACAAAACAGATTTTTAACATTTCAATCCATCTGCTCCTGCTCCTCAAAGACATTGTATGTTTCCCTGCTTGCTTGCTAAGCCAGCTTCACAGAGAAAATGCAAGCCCGGGGTCAAGCAGATGAAATCTGCCTCCTTCCCACCAAAAGACCAATTTGTTTCCAGGCAGAGCTCAAGGGAATAAGACCAGAGAGACACCCTAGACTCATCCGAATTTATCTAAGACCTATCCGTCCCTCCCTCTACCCAAACACAGCGGAGTTCTTCTTCTTTTTTTTTTTTTTTTAATGCCTAATAATGGTGATTAGGTTCATGGTAAAGACAGAAGCTAATATTTCAGGCAGACAGTAAAAGTGTGAAACAAAGAGTTGTGGGAAGTGCAAGGCTGACCACCAAGTAACGGCTGACTGTGGCCAGAGGGGGTGGGCAAGGCTTTGAGGAGCCATGTGACACTTCCTCAAAGTTCCTCCCCTCCTTTTCTCTAGTCCCCACCACCACTTCTGCCACCACCGGAAGCACCAAGGTCTCAGGCAAAGCCAGGGCTCCCATCTGGCTCCCTCCTCTGCTCACACTCAGCTCCTCCCTGTCTGTCCCTCCAGGTCTTTGGAACAACCTTCATCAACTACAGGCACCGCCTGACCAGTTTTGCCATGTTCTTCTCTGCAGCTGCACATTCTGCTTGTTCCTTCTGCACACAATGCCCTTCCTCGCCCTGCCTGTATGGAGAACCCCTCCCCATCCTTTAAGACTCAGGTCAAATGCTCTCAGTTCTCTGGGAGCCTTCTTCCCTGAACCTCACAGGTGAAAATACTCCTCTGCTTCTTTGTGCTTCCATGCAATGTTGCAGGCTACCTATAGTACAGTCCCCTTTCCTCAGAAAGGTATGATGTGCCAACAGATTTTTAAAACTCTAAGCAAAGTACCTGAGATATGAGTGGCATTCAGTAAATACGTTGAGTGGTTCCCAAAGACCAGAAATGATCTAATTCTGGGCAATGTCTTTTTTTAATTTCTTCTGATTAGAAAGGACTTTTGGATCTCCACAAGAGAAGTTAGGATTGAAGCATGAATGGGATGCTCGGGAACATTCACCTTAAAAACCAAATTTTAGTACAATTCTCACCAAAGGTTAGAACCCGTAAGGCCTGCTCTCACACTTCTCAGACATCGCTTGGCAGAGGTCCCTGCAAACCATCTATTGGAGAAGAGGGTAATAGGATTGCTTCTCAGCCCTGACTGCTAAAAATATCATTAGTGGTCATAAAATTATCCAGCCCCACATTTAATCCAGCCGCAGAATTTGCCTCTGTGACCTCCCATGGCAATGAATTATATAAGTGACTATCTCATTTTATTAGCACTTAATTTGCTACTCTTTAATTTCATCAAATAACCCTTGTTCTCATATTATGGGGTCTGGGGAAAAGAAAGGACTCATTGGCCTATGTTATGTCCTTCATAATTTTTAATATTTTATTCAAGTACCCTTTAGCGTCTCCTTTCTAGGAGAAGTGATTCTAATGCACATATTCTCATCAGGACCATAGAATCTTCTTCTTATGAAGCCAGGAAGGGTTTCAAGTACACATGCCTTTGGGGAGAACAGACATGAAATCTTAATTAGAAGGCAATAATACTTTTTTCTTAAAACTCTCCAATGAAGAAAATCCCACTGTTTCTCTTAGTATGTCATTTTGGTGGCTTTCAGGCCCTTCTGTTGGTTGTTCTCAAATACTCCTCTCACAATTTATTTTTTTATTATTTTTCCTGTTGAGTCTCGGTGGAGACAGAGATGATTTTCCCTGCAAATCTACTCTCTAGCCTTTCCATTCTTCCATCTGTGTTTCTACGAATGTTCTTACAGTCTCCACAGTATTCCTAAACATGTAATTCCAAATGACAACTCTAGGAAAGGAGGTGCATTTTGTATTTTGATTTTTCCTTTGTTCCTAAAGAACAAAAATAAATTATGATACTTTACTAGATCTTTCCCAAAACATTTTGGAAAAAAATAAAAGAGATTAAATTTCCCATGTTTTCTCTTAATTTTTTCTAGATTTTCATATCTAACTGTACCACCCCAATTTTTTTTCTAGTGTCTCTAAAGAGGCTTCCTGATATGCACTTGCAGAGTATATTTTGATACCACAGTGTATTACTGAGTACCCTTTTTACTGTATTCACCTAAGTGTCTATTGTTTCTGCATTGTTTGTTTTTAGTTCTAATTTGCAACCTCCCAGGAATTAGCCACACCTTCCCATTTGTGCAAGGACCTAGCACAGAAATAGTTGTTCAATAAATGTCTGTGCCTCTTCCATCATGGTAAATTTATTTTTTACATCAGACACTGTAACTAGTGAAATATCACTTGGTCATATCCTTCACTCTTAACCTTGGAAAGGGTTAAGTTGGCTAGATAAAAGATTCCTGGATGTCAGTACATGCCTGATCCAGCCAGGCTCAGAAATCATTCCGTTTTTACGAATATGCAGATTTATTAGCCTTGCCCGGTTCCTAACCCAAAAAGAAAGAAAACGAAGACTATCCTGAGAGATCAACCTGTTGGCCATTAGAATTAGTCTTCTTTCCAAAGTTCAGCATCCAACAAACCCTGGGTGAGCCACCTAGGGCATCCGTGCCCCAACTGGTCATTAGCCAACTCTCCTAACTTTCTACTGGTTAAACCCAGTCCTTGAAACCCAAACAGATGTTCTAGAAACCAATAACAACACATCTCCCCACTACCACTCTTTCTTCTGATCTCTAACTCCCATCCCACATACATTCACCTGCCAGGCCATCCTTTAGGCTATCGATACAAGTCCAGGTGAGTAATGAGGTTACTATATCCCCTAAAAAAACGACAACTTAGATTGCTGGCACCAAGTTGAAGGCCAACTTCATTTCCCAATTTATTGCCTCTGCACCAAGCTCATCTGTTCTCTGTTTATACTCCTCTGCCATTTGGCTGTCTTTTCCAATATGTCCTGTATCCATAGCTAAATGGGTTGTAATATTCTTTCAAAATACATCATCACAACCACAAAGAAATGACAGATGTTTAGGTGATAGATATGCTAACTATTCTGATTAGATCGTTGTATAATGTATACGTGTATTGAAACAACAAATTGTACCCCATAAACTCGTATGATTAAAAAACATAAAATTTAAAGTAAAAAAAAAAAGAATACAACATCACAGTTGAAGATAGTCTGGGTTCATATTACAAGGCATTCCCGCACCTTGCTATGCACAGGAGTCACATCATGTTTTAAGGTGTTCTCACCTTCCTTTATCCTTCATCCCTCCTTGAGACAGTAGTCATTTCTCAACTACTGTTGATTATTAGTAATAAATTGCCAATTTCTGCCAATTATACTCCTCCTCAACTCATTAGCTATTGCCAGTACGTTAATTTAGGAACTAAAATTATTCTGGCATCTGAAATACTGTTTGGTACAGCCCTCGAGCTGGCCATTTCAGTTCCAGGGTGCCCACGGTCACTCAATTATCAGCCCGTTTCCAGCAGCAGTTGGTGACTGCGGTTATGCAGCTCGACAGCCACAGCTCCTTAGTGGAATGAGGCAGATTATATCTGAGCTCCCATGTGCAAGTCCTCCGGTCTCTCCATTCAGGATTTCTAGAGTACAGGCCTTGTGCTACATGGTGTGAGAAATGCAATGGCATAAAAAGAGGTTGTTCCTATTCTGTAAAGGCTTAGGGAGAAAATTGAGGAGAAAAGCCATAGACCTGGGAGGAGCTGAAAAATGCAAAATAAAAGCCAACACAGAAGGACAGAAGTCAATGCTTTCAACCAACATTTCCCAACTGGCTCCACAGGTTTTATCAGTTAGAAATCTTTCAGTTGGAAACATGAAAATCATCTGTGGTGACTGGAGCAAAAAGGGAAGAATATTAAGGGCTAAGAAAATTGAGAAGCGATTGCAGGTTTTATCAGTTAGAAATCTTTCAGTTGGAAACATGAAAATCATCTGTGGTGACTGGAGTAAAAAGGGAAGAATATTAAGGGCTAAGAAAATTGAGAAGCGATTTGAAGACCAAGCTCAGAAAACAGACAGGAGCCAGAGACAACAGAGACCCAAGCTAGAAGGACAACACAGCCTTTACAGCAACAGTCTGGCCAAGATGCCACAGCAGCTGCCACCTGTCAACATCACTGCCATCTTCCTTAATCAGAGCTTCAAGTTCCCATTGAGCATCTGATGCCTAAACCTAGGTCATGTGCTGTGCATGACTATGGGGACAGGGAGGTCAAGGAAGATCTTCTCCTTCCTCTGTCATACCTCCAACCTAGTCTACATACTAAAAGATGCTCCAAGAGTAAGAGGATGGGAGTTGGTTGCTAGAGAGCCAAAAAATGATAAATTTCTATTACAGTGATCAGTAAGTTTGGGACATGTTAGATGGGAAAACTTCTCTTGGAGATGCACAGAACACATTAGCATATTAAACTCTATGACAAAGTCCCATAGTAAAAAAAAAAAACCTCTTGAATTTTCTTTAATCCAGCATTTCTCAAACTTTTTTGACCACAAAAGTCTTTTTCCCCACAACATATATTTATCACACAGATTGGTAATAAGTCAAGTTCAGAGGAAGGGTAGTTCAAAGTAGGCTTATCCAATTGGCCAAGAAAACCCTTAGTTGGTAAGTAGAGATCTGAGGGTGATATTTTTGGTTGTCACAGCTGGGGGTGGGGGAGTAGGTGCCACTTGCATCTAGTGGGTAGAGGCCAGGGACACTGCTAAACATCCTACAATGCACAGGACAGTCTCCTACAACAAAGAATTACCTGGCTCCAAACATCAATACTACCAAGGTTGAGAAACTCTGCCCAAAGGATGGACAGGATTCAGAAAAAAAAAAAAAAAAAAGAGGAAGCACTGCAGTTTTGTGGAAAATGCGGTTGTTGGGAACAAAAATCTAATGGCTATATTTTATTGAATGTGGCTTATTTGTAAGGCATCTTAAGTACATGGCTAAGGAGTCTAGAAACCTGTGCTATCTAACCAGTAGCCAGTGGCCACATGTGCCTGTCTGAGCACTTGAAATCTTTGCTAGTCCAACTTGAGATGTACTTTAAATGTAAAATAGACAGATTTCAAAGATTCACTACAGAAAAAAGAAAAATGTAAAATATCTCCTTAATAATGCTTCAACACTAATTACACCATGAAATTATAATATTTGAGATATATTTGGTTAAGTAAAATGTTATTTAAAATATTTTCACCTGTTTCTTTTTCCTTTTTATAATGTGCATACTGGAAAATTTTAAATTACTTCATGTCTGGGCCGGCCCGGTGGCGCACTGGATAGTGCGCCGCTTGGGAAGCGCAGCGGCGCTCCCGCCCGAGGGTTCGGATCCCACATACAGACCAGTTCCCGCTCACTGGCTGAGCGAGGCGCGGGAGCAACACTGAGGTTTGCGATCCCGTTGCCGGTCCCCGGTCCGGTACGGGGGCAACACTGAGGGTTGCGATCCGTTGCCCGACACGGAAAAAAGACAAAAAAAGACAAAAAAAAAAAAAATTACTTCATGTCTTAAATTATATTTCTGTTAGACAGTACTGGCCTAGACTTTATCCTATAGGTGATCAGAGGTCACTGAAGATTTCCAAACAGAACTATAACAGAATTAAAGAAGTTATTTTTTTTAAATAACTAGCATATAGAATATATCCCATAGAAATACTTTGTAGGTATGCAAATGCAAATATAAAAAGGTATTTATGGTAGCATTGCTGCAAATGACACAAAGATCCATGAATGATTCCATAAAACACAGCAAATCCATAATAGGGAATGTATTTCAGCCATTAAAAAGAATGAAGTACATCATTAAGCGCTGTCGTAGAAATCCGATTTTGATAAACTACTCAGTGAAAATACGTAACCTGCACAACAGTATAATTTTTTAAAAAACTATCTATAAAAAACAAAAAGACAAAACATCTGTTAGTATATGTTTAAAAAAATAATAGAATATATACCAAATTGTTAGAAATGTTTCCCTTCAGAAGTATGCTTATGTAAAGTATCTATGAAGGGTCTTCAAAAAGTCCATAGAAAGATTTGCATTAGCTTTTAATTCTATTTTTCCATGGACTTTTTAAAGTACCTTCATACTTTCTCATGTTATGTATTTCCATAGTAGTTAAAATTTTTACAAAGAGCATGCATTACCTATTGAGCAGGAAAAACAAAATACACTTAACTCTTGAATTAAGAGGAACTACCAGGCAGGACAGGCAGAAAGTGAAGCAGACTACAGCGGGTAGACCAGTAAGGCCACTGTCACTGCAGTCTAGGTACAGTACCACACAACACCTCTTCAGTATGCTTTCATCACACCACATCCTTCAAGAGCAATTCTAGGCCACTGAGCTCTTCCACATAGTCAGCCTGACAAAGCTGCACAATGTCAGGCAGAAATAATGATGTCAGAATGCCCCTGTTACTGTTCTCAAAGAAAAGATCACCAAAATGTTAGCATCATGCACCACCAGATAAAACCTGAGTATTATATTACTCATTCATAATACCAAAATTACACCTAGGTGAGATGGGCCCACACTTTAGAGTCTGTTCTGGTCCACCACAGCCATGCCCTCCCCCATAGGTGGGGAGTCTGTGGGGCTAAGGGTACAGACTTTCCCTGGGCCCTCATTCCCCTTCTAGTCCATGCTCAAGGGGTATAGGACCCCAGAATTCCCAGACCAAATGGCTCCAGGCTTGCTTAGAGTCTACTGTGGTCTGTACCCAAAGTTGACAGGTTGAACTTAAGATACAAGACAGAAAAGAGACAGAAAATCTTCTGGAAATTTTGATAAATGCAATTCTGACTATGAATTACATTCCTACACTTAATATAAAAGGGGTACCCACAATGATGCCAGGCACTACTGTAAGCTCTAGAGATTCAGCAGTGAATGAAAAAACAAAATGTTATTCTCACACAGCTTTTTCTAATGAAACATAATAAACATATAAATATCTACTGAATATATTGTATATATGGCTACAACAAAAACTTACACAGGATAACAGAATGGAGAATGCAGGAGTGGGTATGGGCAAGGAACATCTCTGATAAAAAAAATTTTTGATCAATACCAATGACACTCTTCACAAAAACATGAAAAACAATTCTAAAATTTGTATGAAACCACAAAAGATCCCAAAGCAATCCTGAGCAAAAAGAACAACATTGGAGATATCACTCTACCTGCCTTAAAAATATATTACAAGGGCCGGCCCTGTGGCTCACTCACGAGAGTGCGGCACTTGGGAGCGCAGCAGTGCTCCTGCCGCGGGTTCGGATCCTATATAGGGATGGCCGGTGCGCTCACTGGCTGAGTGAGGCACGGGAGCAACACCCAGGGTTGCAATCCCGTTGCCGGTCCCCGGTCCGGTACGGGGGCAACACTGAGGGTTGCAATCTGTTGCCGGACACGGAAAAAGACAAAAGACAAAAAAAAAAAAAGAAAAAGCTGTGTGAGGGGCCGGCCCGGTGGCGCACTGGATAAGTGCGCCGCTTGGGAAGC